CTCTCTACTTTTTCTCTGTCTCTTTCTCCCTCTCATTCCTTTTCTCACTCTTTCATTCTCTCATTCCTTTTATCTCTTTGTCTCTTCGTCTCTTTTTGCATCTCTGTATTTATCTTATCTACTAACAGATCGGCAACACCCAGGAGGCTTTTTGTTTTTTTTTTTTTTTTTTTTTTTTTTTTTTTTTACTTTGGAGGAATAATTGCAGTTCTTTTCAAATCTCCTAGGAAATTTTTCAGCTATGTAAAATTATAACAAGATGTGACATCCAGTCCTAGCTAATCAGTGTTCAACACAGACCCACTACTGCAGTGCAGGGGGTGGCAGTTTCAATTTGCCCGTGACACTGACCAGGTTTTTAAGGAACAGTGAGTGAAGGGAGAAAATAGCATAAAAATGCTTAAATTTTTATAGAAAAGGTATAACTTTGTAAGAAAGCACTATCATAAATTCAAAAAAAGTATATCTTAATGATACACTTAGAGTAAATCATTTGCCTTGAGAGACAGGAGGTCTCTGGTGACCTGTATGGCAGCCACAAGAGACTACCAGGCTAGCTACTTTCAGCTAAATGTACTCTCATATTAATATTTTAAAATGCCATAATGCCTCTCTGAAAACCTCAGAGGACAGATACATCAATTTGCGAGGTCTTCACTCCAGGAAATAGAAACAGGGATAATCTGCCATTAAAAGAAATAGTTCATTATGTCTGCTTCTTGGGAGCACATAAACTATGTCCCTCACATACTTATGTTGCAAATCCTCACTTTAATGTGAAGGGAAACACCATGCCCCAGAGCTTTATTGTCCCACTGTTTATTAGTACAAAAAGGTTTCTTGTGGTATGAAATCTTAAGCTTGTTGCAGTAATCAATCAGCTTCAAAGAGTCTCTTCCTTAAGCCAGAATCATTACAAATAAATCAATTAAACATAAAGTTTCTATTTTCAGGAGGATCACAATACAGAAAACCAGAAGTGCATCAGTACATCATAGAAAGGGATTTTACTAGGTAGAACTCTCTTTCTCTTTTTCCTTTTTGTTTTGTTTTGTTTTGTTATACTGCAAAGAGAAGGAGATTTATTTTTTATTCCAGTTAAATCTAGAGCATTCCCCTCTTTAGTACCTATTTCAATATGGGAAATTTATATACTTATGAGAAAAATAAAAACTACTTAATTTTTCTAGATATAGAAGGGAACAAGAAATTAATTTGCATTGCTTTGGCTATTAAGGACACAAAACCAGAAAGGAATGAAATGAAATGAAATGAAATGAAATGAAATGAAATGAAATGAAATGAAATGAAATGTGTGAATGAAAAAAAAATCTTATATTGGTTTATCTCCTGGAGGAGGTACCAGGTATATTAGAACATATATGGATATTTTTTATCCTTGAGGATTTTTGGTTTATTAATATTCAGATATGTTCCTGAGATTTCCCATGGTATGAAACAAAAATCAACAGGGAGACCAATATTCAATCCTATTCTATTCTATTCTATTCTATTCTATTCTATTCTATTCTATTCTATTCTATTCTATTCTATTCTATTTACTGGTTTAATAATATAATCACTTTTCTTCAGTGTGTAAACTGGCTACTCACTAAAATGTTTTGATTAGTCAGATTGTAATTTTCTGGGGAAGGGATGGGTATGTGGCTCTTTAAAAACACATGCATACTGGTTATGCTCATTTTCATCAATGACATGTCAGAGAAGAAGCCTTTTTTGTCTTGGTATGGGAGGTGATGTCCTGATCCTGAGATACATGGTGATCTTAAGTTTCAAATTTTGTACTGTTGTATACTGGCTGCTAATTGCAGAATACTTTTGACGTATATTCTACATGTCACTGCTCTGAGGTAAAAGATTGGTTTTAAGTGGAATAGAGCTGGTGACTTTGAGCAGCTTCTGTTGTGCAGGTTGGAAGCTATGTTCAAAGGATTCAGAAAAAGCAGAGAGAGGACAGCCTTTGATGGAAACACTCCCCCGCATGACTACAGCCAGTTGCTATTTCTGACGCACAGAAATCCTGCACATAAAGCAGATGCATGGTCACACATGGCTGCTGGGCATAGTCTTGTTTTTCTGTGTACACAACCTGAGATTTACTAAGTAGGGCCTCAGGTCTGATTTATAACAACTATTAGTAATTACAACAGGGCTGTGCTCAAAAATTTAGGGCTGAAGCCTTGCTGAATCAGATGTCTAAATAAATCGATCATTTTTGTTTGACTTGCAGTTTAGACTTGGTTTTGACAATTTTCTCCGTGAACAAATTCAAAAACAAATTTTGTTTTGGATCAGCTGAAACAAACTTGTCATGTTTATTTACTGCACTGATGTCAAACATTTTGTTCCAATAAACCAGCCAGCTGTACTTGTCTGAGAACCTGGTATTGAGGAAATTTCGACCTGAACTTAGAGGCTGAGATCTTTGAAGTGTACATCTTCCACTGCAAAAAACTACTTTCCCTTGAAAAATTATGCATTATCATCTCCAATGCTGCTGCTGCAACATAGAAGATGGCTCTTGACTTGATGGCAAAAGGTAAAAACTGATTCAATTGCAGTGTTCATTCATGGCCCTCAACAGGGTTTCCTAGTTTTGAACAATAATCACACTTACCTTCCAAAGGTAATTTCTAAGCCTACATAAATCTGAACAATTTTGTAGTGGTGTTTTCACTTGCTATAGGTGGAGCTCAGGATATGTAGGTTCATCACTCAAACCATTCAGTTAATTCCTAATGTAATGTAGATTAATCAGTGTTAGAGAAACAGCTCCTAAAGTACTTGATTTTTTACCAAGCCCTGCTTTGCTTCCAAGCAAGGTAGTCTCCAGACACATTGCATTCTACCTGTAGTAAAATTAAAACTCAGGTTAGCAATATCACCTGGATATTAGGCATAAACTGTGTTTGTGGTGTTCTAACCTTTTTTTCCCACACAGACATTTCAGAGGAACACAGAAGAACGGATCCACTCCAAAAAAATCTAAGATGATGTAGTCTTGAAGAGACAGGAAATTATTTAGATAATATAGCTATTATCTTGTAAGTATTTTCAGTAAGAATAAAACTCCTGGATGGAAAGCAATGAAATGTATTTCTTGTCTCCTTTAGCCCTGATGGACATTTGTTGGAGAAAATCAGTATTCTAATGATGGAGCTCATCATCCCTGCAGAATTCAGTGACCAGAAGTACATCAGTACAAACTGCTGGCCTTAGTCTGCCAGAAAGGAGATTTTCTGAAGCCAAGAAATCAGGCCTGGATGAATGAATTTATATTCTCCAGTCAAATCCCACACACAGAATCCTGTTAATGCCCTATCATCTTACATCTTGGAACAAGATATCCAGAGTGGCTGGGGAATCTCCATCTTTGAAAATTTTAACTCTGGACTATAAAATGTCCTAAACATTCTGGCCTGAACTCAGTATTGACCATGTTTTGGGCTACAGGTTGTGCAAGATGCCTTCCCAAGGTCCATCCCAGACTGAAAGGTTTTGTGATTTTACAGCTCTAGTATCTGCACTAAAAGAAAGACAGACACATAAGGGTAGTCCAGTAATTATCAGAGGAGTGTAGTTCCTGCCAGGATTTCTACTTTTTATAGGGCTGTTTTGCTGATCCTGGCAAGACTGTGGACAAAAAATATTGCTATAAATAAAAAAAATTGCTGTGAATTAACACAATCAATCAATCAATTAATCAGTTCCACAGTGATGAAGAGTAGAAACAAAGATGAGACAATATTTGTGCAAAATATATGTGACATGTAAAGAACAAAAAATATTCAATCTTCTTACATCTACCACAATTTATAAGTTTACCTAATCATATATCTGTGATTGCAATGCTTGTAAAATAGCAGCGCTGAAAATAGCTGGCCCCAGAGGGCTTCCTAGGCTAGTGATGCCAAAGAATTAATTTTCACTGAGATATGAAATTAAGGTTTTGTTCCTAGGTAAAAGGAGAATAAAATAATGTAGTAGTAAATCTGTATGAAAGAAACCAGCATCACAGCAAAGGTTTCTTCCTTATGAAAAACAAAATGAGCTAAAACTGTTATATCCACTAGTTCCTTGACACATAATACACTGTGCATATGGTGAAATGTCAAAGTGCTCTTCCAGACCCACAAAAGAAACAAAGGTACAGAAAATCCACTTACAACAACAGTAATACTTTCAGAGGGTTGGTGCTAATTCTGTCACTCTGTTCAGAGAAATGTATCAGCATTCAGCCACATTTTCCTTTGAGTTACCAGACAGTTCTTCTAACAGAGAAAAAATTTATCTTTGAATTAATAGCATAGTTGTTCTCTTTGCTTATTTCTCTGAGATCAGGTTGCATCAGAAGCTCTAATTGTTATAACATACCTGCTCTGATAATAAACAAAACAAGTTAAGGACAGAAAGAAAATAGAATTGTGGTCATGTTAGAAGTGGTCATGTTAGAAGGCTTGTTGCATGCTTTCTCTGAGCGCTTGAAAGGCTTTCACAGATGTATCACCTTTGGAATGCTGGATCTTCTGACCCTACCACTATAAAAAAATACTCTCTATGCAGCTGAGTGATAATAGAGAATTTTGTTAATGAATACAAGGTACCATTTTACTTTTAGGGTCATGTAATTTATTTATTTCTAGGGAACTTTTTATTTGAACCCATAGTCTGCACTTAATTGTCACTTTGCTAAAGCTAGGAAGAGTAGTATATCTACAAGCTGATATACTTTGTTTCCAGCAGTCTGAAGCATACCTTGTTCATGTACCTATGAGCTAAGCTTTATATTTCTAAAATCAATGCTTACTTCTTTGAGATGCTTTTGACATTGCTATGAAGAATTGCTGATCTGAAAACACACTGAGAACTGTCTGGTAGGTGAATGTTAATTTTGAAAAATTCTAAGTGCAAATTTTTGCCTTTATTGCCACAACATCTTTATTTGATGTTTTCAGATGCATAATATGGTACACTTTCATAAAAGAGAATTTAATTCTGTATCATTGAATTGTAGAATATTAGAATAAATAACAGATCCTTTAGATCTTACCTGTGAAGATCATATCTCTCTAACTTGGTTAGATACATTTTTTCCACTTTTGATGATAATGATTTTATGTGAAAATCATTCATTATGGGAAAATCTTCCATTGTTTTCTGACGTTTTTATATCAACATTGATCAGATTATTTGAAAAATAGAACCTAGTTTGCTTAGAAATAGTGGGGTGAAAGATTCACAAGGACTGTTACTGTGATATTTTTTCTATGACTGTTGTAGTTCAGTCATGTACCCCAGCACCTTACTGCATGCTAGAAAGCCATTAATTTCATAAACTGTCTTTTCAAAACAGTCTTTGCTGCCTTTTGTTTATTAACTATGGCACATGCTTTGCCTGCACTTGGCCCATCCACCTCAAAGAAACTCTGTCTTAAGTCAGAAGAAAGACAGAGGAGCTAAGCCACTTGTTATGGTGTCTCAGTTTTCCCAGCATCTGAATTTGCTGTATTTAAGTCAAGGAATGCTTGCTGGTAACCATTATTCTGTTACCTTGAATTGTGGTTGACAAAGCAAAACCTGAGCACGTACAACTACCCATTTGTCATATTCAGAATGATACCTTAACATTTAGCTTTCATGTTTTCCAGACTCTGTACTGCATTAGTGCGTAACTCTGAACTTCATATAAAGTGCTGGCAAGTTCTCTTCACATTTTAGTTGGACAAAATAATCTTTTTCCAGCTTGAGAACCAAGGACACCATTGCAGCTTCAGGGCCAAAAAGTATAAAGAGCAAACTGAGGAGAACAATCTAGGAGGACAGGATTTCATAACCTGAAGCTGTAATTGGACAATTAACCCCAATATGGAAATGGATTAAACTTATACAAGTGTGAAAACTCATAGCATTTCATCCATCTTAGGTGTTTCATCGGCCAGGCTCTTGTACTGCTCAAAGTGTAGCCTTTTTAATAAACACCTACTTTATTCCTTTAAAACTGCCTAGCCTCTGTTCTAGGTAGCCTCTCAAGGCATTAAGAAGATATTTTTTAGAAAATAAATGAGTGAATGTAAAGGGTTATTGCATATAAAGTAAACAAAGATTAGATCAGAAGGTCTGTTTTAACATCAGCCTGCTAACAACGTTTTTCATGTTTTAACAAAGAAGAGCATCCTAACCAAAGATATTCTTAAAACCAAACTTTTTGCTTGGTTTTTAGGAGACCTAAGACCCATTGAATCTTTCTTTCTGAATTTCTATTGAAATTCACTGTTTTATTTGGAGTCTGTTTTTTAATTAGCATAAGGCTTTTTTCTTCCTTTATTAATGAAAATTGTTTTCTTCCCAGCACACCCCTACATGTACTTCAGCAGTTATTACTTTTGTTTATACAGAGTGTAAGGCTTCCCACTATCTGTAGTGTCAATTTGACATTCTTCAGTCTAGCATGTGGCTGTTGTGAACCCACTACAAAAATCTGTACAGTAAAGTAAAGCATAATTCAACCTGCTAAACAAGCTTATTTGATATAGTTTGTGATTTGTTGCTGACTGAGATCCTACCTGTTGACAGACAAATATTTTGGATGACAACTCAAATGGCATGGTTTTCACCCAAACTATTTTTTAAATATCCAACTTTATTCTGCTAGAATGTAAAGGTACACTAAGGAGAAATACATCTGGACCCTGGTTTTTCAAACACAGTAATTGACTTAGGGTTTTTACTAACCTGTTATTAATGTCTTCACACCGGCAGACTCTTCAGCTGCAGGCACCAAAGTACAACAATTTGTTATCTAAGAAGTAAATTAGGAAGTTTGATTCTTTAGACATTATCTGGAGTAAATAGATGCACAACAGGAAAGATCACTAAGGGCCACATTGCTGTAAAACTACATCCTTATGGAATAAAGGGCACTTAGAGTCTACAAAAGTATCAACATCTGGTGCGCAACATGAAGTGGAAGAGGTGGATCATTTGGCTTTGCATTGTGAACTGCCCTGGCAGCCTTTGGAAAAATAATAGAGATGTTACTAAAATGACTTGTGGCAAGGGGCCAAATGGTGATATTTTTCACACAGCTGGACCTACCACTTAACCCAATGAAGTTCTCATGAATTTCAGTACGGGGCATGAATCTATCTATTTATTATATCTCCATTTTAATAAACTGTCTGACCTTGTACTTTCTAAGCTTTGAATAAAATCTATTTGATTCACTGAAAAGCTAAGCTTGCTACAGACATCTTGTGAAGTTTGGTATTATTTTCAATGCTGTCTTCATTTTGCCTCATATAATGGTCCTATTCTTCACCATTCATGAATTATGTAGGTCAGTACATACACATGCCAGGAAAACCTTTCTAGCACCCCATACAATCATATATTTTGTATATGTAATGACATAGTTATTGTGATTCTTTTAGAAATATTTCAGGGAAATGCTAGAATGTTAAAATGACTATTTTTGTTTGTCTCCTTCTCTATTGTCAAGTGAATTAGTTCTCGTGAATGCCACTGTGCATAGATAGAGAAGGAATAAATTAAAATACAGGGAAAGGTGTGAAACTAGATGCTTGGCCAAAAGCAGCTTTGCTATACATGAAACATGTTGCTGTGTTTTGGTTATGGTTTGGTTTTGCAGGTTTATGGGTTTGTACATTCAAGGCTAGGAATTATTGTTCATTGTAAAGATATAAATGGAAAAGTTATTAGAAATCTTCCTGTGCAATGATAAATAAAGGAGAGTCACTAACAGTCTGCCCTCTTCATGTGTTCACTGATTTTTCCCCCAAATCTCTATCATGGTTCATAAGCATTGCTTTTGGTAGTCTAGTTCAGACTAAGAAACAAGCATTTCTGGGTTTTGGGATGTTAAAATATTGCTACCAGTGAGACTAAGGCAAAGCTGGGGAACAGTTACTTTCAAAGATAGAAAAGGTTTTTGGATCGTAATTGCTTTTTGTCCACACTTTCAAATTTCAAATTTTGTTTAATTTTTATTATTTACTTCATATCATAACACATAAGGCCTGAGAAATTGCTTAATTACCCATCTTTTAATCGCCTCTGAAGTGCTTGTCTATCAGATGAATTAAAGGAAGGGATAAGTTAGCAATATTTTTGACACTTTTTTATTAATTAGGGAATGAAAAACAAAATTTCATGTCTTTAGAAAGGGACAGATGTTAATTTTTTTCGCCTGTTCAAAGAAATAAGGAATCTACAGAAAGTAGTCAGGATCCAAGATTTTTATAAGTTTTCCTGGAAGTAACATAGCAAACTGACAATGAGATGGATAAAAGCTTTTTTTTTAACACTTCAAGACTGACATACAAGACTTACAAGTTGATGCATTCTTGTCTGAAATAGATTTCAACCAGCATTAAGCATCTATGCTAATATATTTTTAAACATTTGATTTAACATACCATTTTAGCCATTATTGTGTAGAATTTTTCAAAGTTTTGAAAACCTGAAAATCACTGCTTTAGGAACCAAGCTCTGAAACCTGTGATAAATTTACACAAACAATAAAAAAAAACAGTGCGAGGGTGTTGCTGCAGCATTGTTTGCTTGTTTAATCTGACAGCACTAAATGTGGAAACTGTAACTACTCAAGTTCATCCTTGTTAGCATGGTTCATGCAGAAAGATTTCCTGGCTGATTGTGGCCACCAGAACACACTTTCTGATGCTACTATCAGCTATCAGTCATTATCAGCTTTCAAGTCATTATGTACAGTTAAATAGAGACACTGCCTATTATGTAAATCTGCAGTCCAGAGAAGTTTGGAAATTCCACTTTTTACCAATCATTGTAACAAATAAGTAAATCACCCTTCCAGTCTATTCCATGACAATCACTCTTCATACTTGCTAAAAAAGTTCTGACCAGATGAGGCAAACATAGATGGCAGAAGGAAAACAAAAACACGTTCCTCTTCTTGTTCAAACCTAGAGGGTTCAGCTGTTTCCCTACTCTTCTGTCTACTTACCTGTAAAAAGAAGTGGTTGTTAGACACTAATATAAATATATATGTACCCATATATGAAATGTGCAAAGCTCAGACTCTGAACCTTATAGTTTGTTTAGATATTCAGATTATCAATAATTTTATATACAATACATGCCTGCATTTTTTTACTCATTCTTCTTTGAGTGATAACAGCACTCAAATATTTATGACCTCATTTTGTAGGATGCAGAATCCTTCAGTCTGGTCTTTAGAGTGTCCTATGACATATACTCATTCTTTTGACCACTAAATTGATTTTTCTAAGTTCAAAATATTCAGAGAGATTCACCATATCTTTAAATGTCTGTAACTATTGTTTTATAAGTCAAAGTGGTTTTACACAGTTTTAGTATATGATTTAATTAACAGGGAATCCAGTACTGATCACGAGCCACTTTCATGTGAAGCTGTACAGCCATGGGATATAACATCCAGCCTCTGTCAGGATTGAATCACAGACCTCTCTCTCCTTCTGTCTTTTAAACTTTAAAATTTCAGAAAATCACCATTGGAGCCTTTTCCTTCACGCTTTCATACCTGTCATATTCCATCAAGGTCACTTTTAAAGGCAGCTGTGCACAAGTGAAAATCAAAGCAGTGTCCTGGCTGGTGGTGAGGACTGCCAGTTTCTTAGAAAAGCCAGACTAATCTGTCTCCGCATGAAAAAGAAAATAAGTGCTTCTAGTTATTTTATTATTTCACAAAGCTGTGTGAATCTGTAAATAAACAGACACATGCTTTGGCACATTCGGAAAAAATATGTTATTCTATGAACAAACGTAATTGTTTAGCAAAACTGAAATGAAAAGACCTTGAACATTACTTTAGTGTGGTTTATTGCTTGTAAAATGTGCTGAATGTAAGAACATCTTGGATACTCAGTTCGGGCCCCAACTAATAATGATATTTGAATAATGAAATTTGTTTTAAAGCAACTAATAATATAAAGCAGTTATGAGTCTTTAGGTATGACACAACTGAAATATGGGGAAAGACTGCTTATATTAAATTTAGTCATCTAAGACAATTGTGAAAATTCACAAAATTTCACAAAATAACACTGGAAAAAGAAACATCTAACACTGACTTTTTTGTCTCTAATGGTCCATCCTGGGTGGTTTCCCATCTTTTCAGTGGAATGTGGCCTCAGTTTAGATGGATGTGAGTTATATTTGAAAGTTAAATTCAGGATTTTATAGAAATTCACCTGAGTCCAGTTAATTCCTTCCCTATGAAGCCGTGACATTTTATAGTTCTACAACTAGCCTTTTCTCAAGGGCATTCTCTCTTTGGTGATTATGAAGCATTCCTATTTCTGGAAATAAATTAATGCTAGTCTAGTAACAACAAGAAAAAATAGTTTCTATAAATACTCCATATTTTCGTTTATTTATCTATAGAACTTCACATTGATATTTGACCCTGTTTTCTTGTGTCATTTTTAGTGAAATAACACACTATTCCTTCATTTCTTTTCCACTTATGTAAGCAAGTGTTCAGTATAATTAGAAATTATGCTTCAGCTGAATAAAATTTTTTGGCTCATACCTAGTTTCACAGCAAACAGGGATAATTGCTCCTTTTTCATTCTCCAGCCGTCAGCTGAGCTTGCCTCTCACTGTTTCCTTTTTTTCAGCATTCTGACATGAATCTCTTTCCAATTATCTCTGAGGTAGGTTGTATCCTCTTTCCTGAAAGGAAGAGTCAGAATGGGAAAAGGTCTCTGAGTTCATTTTATCAGGAGTTTTCACTGTCTACTTGCAAGGCCTCATTTGCAAGTGATGTACCTTTCTTCTTCCTCTTTTTTCTTTCTCTCTCCTCTCTTTGAGGGAAGTATGGCTTGTTTTAACCTTCATGAACCAGTTGCAAGGGAGCAGCCCTGTTAAACAAGAGACTCCTGTGATAGTGCCCAGAGTATATCACTGAGGGAAAATTATTAGCTTCTGACATACTGGAGGTCAGTCCAAATGATGTATTAGTCCCCTTGGACTTCAGCGTTATAGGACTATTATTTTAACACAAATTATGAATAAAACTCAATCATTATCTTTCGTACTTTTCATGGTGAGGGAAGGTAAGGTGAGATGGGTTATTCAGTTGATTCATTTAGAGAAGGCCTACAGAACAGATTCAAGAAAAGAATTTTGAATTGTTTGGTTCCCTATCTGCAGCTACAGTAGAACAAGGATTTGCATGGTAATCAATGACAAATTGCATAGGTAAAGAGGAGAGGAGCAGCTAGCAGAATAAAGGCAGGTGTTGGTCTGTGCTCACCATCAGAGAGGCCACTCCTGGAATAATGAGTCCACTTTTGGGACTACTGGTTCAAAAAGTGTTTTGAAAAATGGAAAAAAATCCAGCAGAGAGCAGCCAGTGTGGCTAAAGGCTTGTAGAGGAAGGGATTTAAACCACTGGGATTACTAGTCTGGTGAAGAGAAGATGGAGGAGACAGCTTATAGCACATTACTGTTACCCAAAATGTTCCCAGTGATGAACCAAGCTCTTCTTCTAGAAGAAAATAGTAAGAAGAATGGGCAATGGTGGACTTTTCACTAAAGAAATGTACATAGGAAAATAATGAAGTCTGTGTAGAATAATAAATAGTAATATTTTAGAAAATAATGAAGAATCTCAAGTTTTTTTTGAGATTCATATGGAGAAAATTATCGTAATTCAGCTCCACACAGGAGTTTGGACCTCCAGAAGTTCTTTTCAAGTAAAGTTTGTATGTCTCCATGGTAATTGCTTTGCTAATATTTGGAAATCTATGAGGCTATTTAAACCACTGTACATCACCATAAACAATGAAGTCTCAGGCAGTAATGCAGCCCTGCCCTAAATGTGGGATGTGCATCCATGAAAGTATCAGTTTTTGTAGGAAAATGTACAAATGTGCATGGAACAGTCCACTTAATTCCCTGGTAAATAGGCCTCCAAAATTTTAGTATTTTTTGGAAAATGAATACAAAGACTTTGATAAATTGCTTCTTCTTAGCCATTCAGATGAATGGTGTTGTTACATACAGTATATATGTAAGAGAATGAATTGGTCATGTGGAAATGTTTTCAGATTAAAAGCTAATTTACACCACAAAAGAACCATCATTTACTTAGATCACTAGGATGATTTAAAAATTTGAAATATTTTTTCTTTTTTTCATTAATACAAACTCAGCTATCAGTCCTCAGTCGCTTGAATTTACATATGCGAGACATTCTCAAAGAATAAGACAATCATTTTGTAAGCATCATATTTGTAAGCATCTCTGTGATCAGGTCCTAATGGGTATGGACAGGTAGACACAAGAGATGACAAAAAAATCTTTTCTTTTATAATGTCAACCAACCTTTTACCATGATTTGGCACACAAAGGATACTACACAAAACAACTGCAAATAGAAAAAAGTGACAATGGGTTTTTGATTAGATTTCTATGTCAAAACAACATCAAAACACTCAGAGGAGCCATTTATGATGTCAATGAAAGAACTAAAATGCTACTGATTCATATTATTTCTCTTTTCCTTACTTAATTGTTTGTGCACTTTAAAGGAACACAGCTTTCTCAATAGATGATACTGCATTGGAAGAACTTCTACTACTACTCCCTTGTAGGTCAAGCACGTGTACGACACATCTGAATATTTTTAAAACAGAGTTTAAATCTATAAAATTCTAGCTATGACAATTAATGTTATCTTCTGGAAACCATAGGGTAACAA